GTATTTCTCTGCGCTGCTCCCTTACTTTCTCTGGCCCGCAGCCTCGCAGTGCGCAGCGTTTACCTCGCGCCGAATAAATTCAGGTGCGAGAGAGCGCAGGGCGCGGAGGTGGGAAAGTCTGAGAGTGACAGAGACAAAGCGGCCACCCCCGCTGCGCTCCAGCCCCGGCCGCCCCGCCCCGACACACGTATACAAGAAAACAGTCTGCACAGTCCCACCAAAACTTCCCGTCCAATTTCCAGCGACGATGCGTATGGCGGGCAAAGTGTGTTGGAGACAGGGGGGACATGAATTGTAGAATAATTACTGTATTGTCACAGTCATTTTAGGGTGAACCCATCTTAAAATTATGGGAGCCCTGCTCAGCAGACAATTAACGGGGGCAAAATAGTCCAAAAAAGTCAAGAAGTATGATGATTGAACGCAAAAATCTAGAAAGTAGGTCCTAAGTCTGTAAGATTTTTTGTAAGGACACTAATTTGACGCACAGTGCGCACTGCTGAAGTATAGAAACCTCTCAGAGTGAAGTAACATAACTTTTTATGTTACATAGTTGGCACCTGGTGCGTACAAAAAGAATAAAACTAATACGCGACAAGACTTGCACCAAAGCTCGCGGCGGCGGAGGCACGACCCCCTCACGCCACGCCCGCCGGCCGGGGCGAGGAGGTGGTTCACCCGCAGAGGCTGCTCACTCCGGCCCAACGCCACTATAAACCCTCGCGGAGGAGGAGAAGGCCAGGATGCGGAGGAGGAGGTTGGCTCAACTCGTTTCCGAGAAAGAAGTTTGGCCATTTCCATTGCGCGCCTCGCAGATTTGGTTGGCGCTGCAAGACCTGCCGGGCCGCGGCGGGGCGCGGCGGGCGACGCCGAGACTGATCTCCCGACAGCTAGCCTCGGGGACGCTTTCGCGGCTTGTCCCAGCCCCAGCAGCATGCGAGCCGAGGTGTGTCTGCTTTCAGCACTTGCCATGCAGAAACAGTATTCACTGAGTACAACGTCTAACACGACTCCTCGACGTTACT